TGGTGGGGGAATTTTGCAATAGAGATTTTTCTGTCATTCATCACCAGAGTTACCTGTTTATGTTTATAGCTTATGAGCTATCTCTTTGAGGGTATAGAGGAGAAAGAAAAAAGATTCTTGATTCTGAATTTTCCAATTCAGCCTTTTGGGAATTGGGATTATTGCTTCAAATTTTGTTCCTTTTTCTGCTTTTCGATTGAATGCATTGAAGGGTTAGTGCAGAAATATTTAAGGGGTTCTTGATGGAGTTGCTTTTCCTCTAACCTTTTGTTATATAGAGTCCATATAAAGGTGAGCTGCTAGTTCAATGTGTGTGTGTATATATATATTGATTTGTTTTCTGGTTTTTACAATAGTTCTTCTATCAGTTGTCTTGATTTAGAAAGCACCTTCATCTGGAAAAGATCATTCTTTTGGATTGTTTTGTGTTTAGGGAGCAAAAAGATAATTCTTTTGAACTTCTTAAGTATTAGGGCTATCAGTTACATGTAATTATACTTGAATCATTGAGCTTTTTGGGTAAGTGCTTGTCTGGGAGAGAAAATAAAATGTGGCTATACTTCGTTTTTGCAGCTCTTTCTTTCTTTTTTGTGTGCTTTTTCCGCAGCCCTATGTTTATATGGGTTTGATGAAGTTTAGATGCATTTGGTTCTGCATGTGGTCCGATGAGCTAGCTGTAATTTTGTAAGCTTCAATTGCGTTCTTAGATATATTGGCTACTTCTTGTCTAGGTTGCTATTTTCTGTACACACGGTGATAAATTGTTTCGATGTATTCTATCCTAACACATTGAGGTTATGGGGTTCAAATTTTTGTAATTTGGTTCTAGATAAGCTAAAGCAGACTACACTTGAAAAGCTATGAAACTCCAAATAATATTATCTTTTATTTAAAATGTAAAAATTTATCATTTTCAGGTTTATCCATAAGAAGTTTTCTGTAGCTCAGAGCGTTAGAGCACATGCTATCAATCACAGCTGCAGAAGAAAAAAATCATCAGAAATTTCTCCTATAATTTTACACACTTGTGTGTAATAAAACGTAAAATTTGTTTACTTCTTGAAGTGTCACATTTAGCTTCTTAAGCCTTCATTGAGAAACTTAATGGGCTGTCAGTAAAGGCCTCACCGAGACTCTTGACTATGAGCCAGCTCAATTGCACTTAATGGGCTGGCTTAGCAAAATCTTCAAGGGTTCAAACCATAGAGTTTCGGAGGGGAGATATGATTGGAGGTATGAAGCTGAAGCTGATACCATAGAAAATCATCCATCTACATCGTGGGTAAGTATTTGAATTTTCTTATTATTTAATGCTTAAATATTATTCTGTTTAGCTTTTATGCTGAACTGAGTAGTAATGTGAAGTCATGCCTGGCTTAGACATGTTTAGAATCCTTAATTCATTGTTAGTACTTTCATTAGAGCATTTATGTGTTCGTTTTTTACATTATTTATTTTCGATTCTTGATGGCTGACTCTCTCTATATTCGTCTATGCTTACTTAGGAGTATGATATGTGATTTTTGAAATGAATGCTCATTTTTTCTGATTCCAATCAGTTAATTCAGATTCCATGGTGCAAAAAATGTAGTCGACATGATTGACGGATTAGGCTTGAATTTAAATCATTTTATTTACTGATTTGGTACGAATTAAGATGGTCATTAGCTAAACTTCGGAAAAAGTTGAATTTAGCTTCATCTTGAATGGAATATCAGAGACTTAGTAAAATCCTACTTGACTGCCGTGCACATTAAGGATAAGCATTAATTCCTAAGCTGATATTGACAATTCATAATAGTTGGTTTCTTGAGAGGATATGATCAATTTCTTTAATATTTCACTAATTTTATCTTGGTCTTTTTACATTTGCCATTTGGCGGTGGAGTGAGACTTGATTCGCTGCAACAAATTGTTTGACCTTCCTATTTATTACTCTCAATGAAAATCTTATTCATGAAAGGAGTGGATATTTAGGATGATTCATGGTCAGAGATTGAAGACATAGACCGTGCTATTGCTTTATCACTTTCAGAAGAAGAACAGAAAAGAAACAGCCTGACTGGTGAGTCCTTCACTGATGGACTTTTATTATTGAAATATTCAATATATAATTCCTAAAATAAACTTTTACTGGGCTAGTTGGTAAGTTTCAGAAATTGGACCTGAGTTTAGTGGAAATTTTTTTCCTTTTAACAATTGTTCATCAAAGAGACGTCTTCAGAAACTTAATCATTCGAAATGGTTCTCAAGCTCAATTTGTTGCTTGTATTTAAATCAGCCTTTGATGAATTATATAATTTTATTCTGCTCCATGGTCTAATTAATTGTGCTGCTACTCTGTATTTTTTCTTTGTGTTTGGTCAGTAAACACCTTTTTTTTTTTGGATACACATGAATAGTTGGAATATTTATATACCTGTTTATTAAAGGATAACTATGTCTGGATAGACAGCGAACCGCATATAGAAGAAGATGAACAACTTGCCAGGGCTCTTCAGGAGAGCTTGAATGTCGAGTCTCCACCCGAATCACACAGTCAAAATGAAAGTGTTTCTGAAAATGGATATGAAAGCGGCTATGGACATGAAAATGAGAGTCTCTACCAGCCTTTACAATTTCCGTATTCAGTAGGCTTCAGGTAAACTGATTATTGGTGCTGAATTTTTTGTATGAACTAAAAATTGAAATCAATTTTAAGCAAAATAATTATACTATTCACTAGTTATATTTCTTAACACTCAATTAGTCAAAACTAAAACATTTCGAAGTACTTCTTGAGTACAAAAGTCTTTGTTGAAGAAAGCTTTTATCTCGTCCAATCAGTCTTTTAGACTTCCAACTTTTGGGGTAATAAGTTAATTCAAGGAAAATGGGCTTATAACTTTTTAAATTCCATCTATATATTTGTCACCCTTTCACTATCGCCAATGATTAATTGTGCTTCATTCGCACTTAAATCTTCTGTGTTAGGATATGTGCTGGCTGTAACACAGAAATTGGGCATGGAAGATTTTTAAGTTGTATGAGTGCAGTTTGGCACCCAGAATGCTTTAGATGCCATGCATGCAGGCAACCGATATCAGATTACGAGGTACGCGATTCTTATTCGTCTATGAAAGTTTTTTTTT